GTGTAATATCCTTATAATCCAAGTTTATATAGTCAGTTTCGAATGTTTTGCGCATTAAACATTAAGATACATCTGCTGAGTTCAACCATAAACCTGGGGATCTTCGTACGTGCATTGAATGTTCTCTTCGTTGAAACAGGTGGCTCGTACCTCCGCCAATTTGCATGGCATACCGCTAACCAGTGGTAAACCGTATATATAAAACGAATCGTTCAACGTTTGTTCATGATCACCGGATGCAAGAAAGTCGTTATCTTTGTTTATAATTAACGCGAAACTTCCAGCTGCAAGAAAATATTTTTTTATACTGAAACATTGTAAAACAGTGTGTACGTGTTATGTGTATCGAGATATGGTGGTTTAACTTGTCGATGTGTATTAACGAGCTGTCTTAATACATTGAAACGTTACGTACGAGTATCTAACGGTGAACAGGAGCAATTCGGGCTTAGAGTGTATTTGACCGTGGCACGAAGACGTTGAACTTCCCGGGATCCATGCAAGTCCAGCAACAGTCTAGCTTTGCGCAATCGTCTAATTGCTACTTTAACCGCGCTACTCGCCGAGCAATAAACGTCTTTAATGTTCGACGGTAACTTGTCCATGCATACGGGACAAGATTGCTTCTCTCCCGTCGGCGCTAAAAGTAAAATGTAACGTGAATAAAAAAACAAAAAACGATAATTGTACGTGTAACTGTTGTAGATTGTAAAATACATTCACTTACACGGAATATTCGTCTCGGTGTTTATTGTAGTGTTATTCATTTCAACGTCCGACTCCTCCTGCAAGAAATTGTCTCTTTTAGTTGTTCAGCTCGAATTTCCCCATTTTACTTTATTAACCTTCGATTAATGTTTGGTATGATTTTCGTTGTCAATGCTTTTTAATTAAAGGGTATCACGAACAAATTTTTGTCAGACTTTGTAAGTTCTTTATAATTATTCAAGAAATTTGAAATGTACCTGCAAAGGGTTTTGCTCCTCTGGCTGTACAGTTTGCATAGTTTCGTCTTCTGTTGCAATTGTTGACGTTCTCACCACGGGCAATCCATTGGTGGTGATACTTGATTCTTTGTTGTACTTGTTGTTATATGAACTTAGATATGATTCTTCATAAACTGGAACTCGTGTTTGTAGCTCGTGACTGTCTTTAAAAAAGGTTTCCGCAAAATTTATAGTGAGTGCGTATTGTAATTGTTCCTCAGACTGCACACTTGGTGTCACTTGTTCATTAACCGGTTCCGCGCTGCTACAAAGCGAAGCGATTTTATAGCTCTGAAACAATTCATTATTATAGAAATCGTTTTTTTTTTTTTTTTAATTGTATCTTCAGATTTAGTAGAAATCATCCTAACTCACAGTTGACACCGTCAGCTCTTGTTGATAATAATCATAAAGCTTTACGTTCGCTGGTTCAAGACGATCGACAACGTTCTCCCTTATTATCGTGAATGAGATGCATGTCCTTTCGCCAGTTAATTTGTCGAAATAAATGGTGACAACATCTCGGTTTGCATCGTAGCGTTTTACTCCTGTAATTGATTCATCAATTTTATCTAATATCATTGTTATATTGATTTTTAACAATAGATATAGTAAATTTACTTGGATAATCTTCTAACAACGCATTCAGGCTCATTGGATCCGGCAAGTAGCCACTTATCATTCCAATTTCGAGCAAAGCCATGTTGCTCTCTTCGTCTGCCATTTTATACCGTGCACAGACTGTAATATTTTGCAATGAGCATTCATTTTGGTAGGCAGCGGAATGAGCACCCACCGAAAGATCGAAAGCATTCGAGGCATTGGTATGCGCCACGTTGTATTTAAGATTACTCTAAAATTATGGTGTAAGGAATAAATACAAAGTGAATCACTTAACTTGACTATTTTAAATTACCAAATTCGCTATGTGAAAGAAATGTATGAAACAAATTATTTTTTTTTCTACATTGTTCATTCGGTGTAGTTAGTGGAATTTTTAACGAAAAAAACTGTTATTAATGACGAGGATAAGAATAAAGGTACTTATCGTACCTGTATTAAAACGCAGCCTTTACCCTCGGCAAAAATTTCTACGATGGTTGGCAGAACAGGCAAACGAATTTGCTTAAGAATCATACGATTATCTTCGTTCAATTTGTAGGCGTAATCCACTTCTTTGGCAGTGACGAGAACAGACAAATCGGTTTTGCCAGGACTTACAGCCATATTGTATTTCGTAAGAGCTTCCAATGCAATAACCGTGTCCTGGGTGGACGTATATCCACCTTTGGTATTCATTTGCTTCGTTATCCAACGAACAGTCTTCATAGCTTCAATCATATTGTCATCTCCGCCTAATTTTACCAAGGTGAGAATAACATATGCAGTCATTTCGATGCTTAAACTGATCGCAGGCTTAGATTTATCTTCCCACCATACGTGGTTCTGTAATGTAAGCAAATTTCGCATCAGAAATGAAAAATATAAATTACAGTTGGACTATTATTAATTAAGTAATAAACAAAAAGTATTTAAATTAGTTCATCTAATCTACTCGCGTAATCTTCTCGTTCGTCGATTCTTATGTTCATTACATTCCTAAGAAATTACTTGTATATTTGTTCATACATTGTGACGAGTAGCATATTTCATCAGGAATTTTAAACTGGAATTGGCGTTCGGGCTCTCGGATAACGCTAACGCATACGTCTTGAGAATTATAGTGTATGGGTCAGTATTGTAGTCAGCAACTGCGTTTTCCACACAATTCAGGGCATTGTTGAAAATAGACAGTGATAAGGGAACGCCAGACTCAAGTAGACAAATTAAAATGTATGCGGTTAATGCTGTTGACAAATCGTATTTTTGGAGGCCACCCTAAAATATGAATAAGTTTCATCGATTGTTTTAATCTGAATCTACTGCATGTTTTATTGCAATTAATTGAAACATTTGAATAGCTGAAGATTCATATCGTCGTCAATTTGACGAACCTTCATCGGTTTGTGGAAAACTGTGCCTATCATGGGGAAACAACCGTTCTTCAACTGTTTCTTTATGATCCAATTGACAGACCGCTTAAGCTGATCCTCGTCAATATGAATCAGAGTTCGAGCTTGAGCAAATGACTTCAATACGAACGCGGTCAACCATATTGAGCTTTCGCTATTCGTAAACGCTGAATAAGAGTCATCCGAATGTTTATAAGTCAGCTGTCTCTGGTATCCTAAGTTCAACATACGATAATAATCCTTAATTTCGTTTAATTATTTAATGTACAACAGGAAATAAATTGTTGAGTTTACAATTTTTCATGAAAATTTGTGAAGTGTATTTTAACAGATCGAAAGAAAAGAGAATTTTACTGTAAAAGTATTTGTTGCGAAAACACACTTCAATTTCTGGAGTGTGCTTCTATGTATATTATTAAATAATAAATACCTTTCTCCATATTTTTAATAGCTTTTGCTCGAAGAACAGGATTATCAATTCCATTGGCATCTAGATATTTAATCACGTGAATGTTGGGGACAAACAGTACCATGTTCTGTTCGCCACAACCTTTTGGTAATTGCACAAGATTGTCCAAATTGTCCAGTGCTGGACCTAAGATATCTC